GTACTGGCTCCAGGTCTAGGGTGAGAAACAGTTCCTGGCTGTCGGGAAAACCGGTTTCTCCGCTTGCTTGCTGTGAGCTATCTACAACCTCCTCATCATCATCATCTTCTTTGTCCCCAAAACCTGCTTCCGTATTGCCTCCATCTCCATTGAAGGAGTCAAACAACACGGCTGGGGTAGTGGTGGCTGAACCCCCTAAAATGGCATGCAGCTCATCATAGAAGCGGCATGTTTGGGGCTCTGACCCAGAGCGGCTGTTCGCCTCTCTGGTTTTCTGGTAGGCTTGTCCCAGCTCCTTCAGTTTCACGCGGCACTGCTTCGGGTCCCTGTTATGGCCTCTGTCCTTCATGCCCTGGGAGATTTTCACAAAGGTTTTGGCATTTCGAAAACTGGAACGGAGTTCTGATAGCACGGATTCCTCTCCCCAAACAGCGATCAGATCCCGTACCTCCCGTTCGGTCCATGCTGGAGCTCTTTTGTGATTCTGGGACTCCATCATGGTCACCTGTGCTGATGAGCTCTGCATGGTCACCTGCAGCTTGCCATGCTGGCCAAACAGGAAATGAGATTCAAAAGTTCACGGTTCTTTTCCTGTCTACCTGGCCAGTGCATCTGAGTTGAGAGTGCTGTCCAGAGTGGTCATAATGGAGCACTCTGGGATAGCTCCCGGAGGCCAATACCATCGAATTGTGTCCACAGTACCCCAAATTCGAGCCGGCAACGTCGATTTAAGCGCTAATCCACTTGTCAGGGGTGGAGTAAGGAAATCGATTTTAAGAGCCCTTTAAGTCGAAATAAAGGGCTTCATTGTGTGGACGGGTGCAGGTTTACATCAATTTAACGCTGCTAAATTCGACCTAAAGTCCTAGTATAGACCAGGGCTCAGTTTCACTTCCAAAGTGAATGAAGTCAAACTGAATTAAGGCCACATTAAGGGTCAACGCCATTCTGGGAGGTGTTTTACTGTGTCGCTGTCGGACAGAGACAAATTTGAGTGTAGATGTGCACAAATAGGTCGACGCAAGGTGACGAATGTCAACCTGACCTTGTCATGTAGACCAAGCCTGATTGAAAGTATCCACACAGGGGATCTTATGTGGTTTACTAAACCCGGTTCAATTCACACCTTTAGTTCATTCAGATTAATTTTCCTGCCTGTCCCCATGTAGACACATCCTCGGCGTAGTTTGACCATGAACAATAATCATGTGGAACAGTCCCAGAAGTAATTAGCAAAATGCGTCTGCTGAGTGACTTGGAAGAGTAGCAATCGTAAATAATAGTAAATAGTTTGAGAAGCCGAACAGAAATCAACCAAATCCATTGACACCAAGAATAACGACCTCCAGTTTTTATCGAGCCCTTTCCCTGCGCAGGTCACAGAGTGCGGTGTAAAGGAAGTTGATGCCATTATCCTGTTTTTCCGATGGGGAGACTTGCTGTCCGTTATCCAGGACGGTCTCGGGTTTCTTGTAGAGCAGTGCTTCTCAGCCTTCATTCATTTCCGGCCCAATTTTGATCGGAGGTGCAGGGCCAGGTGGGGAGAGACCTACCTCCAAAGAACTCCTGAGCAGATCTTCAAGAAGAACTGGCCAGTCTGAGCCCTTGGTCGGTTTGTCCCCTCGCAATTAACAGCGGATCCCTGATTTCCGGGCTGACGGCGTCTGGCTATGTCCACTGTCCAGCTGCTGGATCCCAATGGACTGTCGGCTGCCAAAGCAACGGGTCCAAGAGCAAACTGAACCCATTCTGCATTTGAAGGCCTTCACGTAGATTTCCTTGTGGGCTCATTAACATTCATTGGAGATCTTAATATACATCCGATTATTTATGAGCACGATTAGCTTCAGAATGAGGGTATTAATTAGAGCTGTCTTTTGGATTGGTTGGGATGAAATCATTCCGTGATGGAATCTCCTGCTTTAGGTCAGATTTAGGCAAATCTTGTTATGTTAAATCTCACTGTGTTTCTTATTTCTGTCATTGGCCGTCTTGTTTACGTGCCGATACTAATCCAGTCTTCAGGTTCGTTGTCTCCTGCAGATACAGGTCACGATCGCTGTTCTTTGTGGCGGTTTCCTTCGCGCCTGGTGGCTGCTCCGTAGCATTGGATGCTGAGCCATTATTGTCATTAGTTTCTGGGAGGTGATTAGGCATTATTTGTTATTAGCCGTATTGGCACGAAGTCCGTTATCCTGCAAGTGGGACTTCTATTAGGAATAGTTATTAGCAACATTCATAATGTAATGTATTCATTGTTGAGGTCCGCAAACTGCAAGGAACACTGGTGGGGCAGATCTCTGCCGGTGCCAAGCCGGGTGGCTGGGATGAAGGAAGCCATTGCAGGAAGTCAGGTCAGTTAGCGCGGGCCGCGCACGGTACGGACCCCGATGGTCTGCATTAGCCGTTCCTACGTGATGCTGAGAACTGTCCCATTCGCGGTGTAGCTACGAGTCAGTTCACCATTGAGACGTGACGCCCGGGACTCAGGGTGCGGGAGTTGCTGTGGGGGGTCCGTGTTCACGGGTACGTCAGGGTGGGCACTGAACGGCCGGCTGGATAGTTACCAGTGGGAACAGGACACGGGGCCCTGCTTTGCAGGCACTGTCTGGCCCGTTGTCCTTACAGAAACATGGTGGGGAAGGGAACATCTGGAATTGGACCAGCCCCACTGGGAGAGACCCTGGTCTTCGCCCGGGTTCGAGCCCTGCTGGCAGAGAGTCCTGGTCTGAGCCCCTCGTCCGCGCCCCGCTGGGAGAGGCCCCGGTCCAAGCCCCGGTTCCCACCTTGCTGGGAGAGGCCCCGGTCTGAGCCCTTCGTCCGTGTCCCGCTGGAAGAGGCCCTGGTTTGAGCCCCTCGTCCACGCCCCGAAGGGAGAGGCCCCGATCCGAGCCCCTCATCCACGCCTCGCTGGGAGAGGCCCCGGTCCACGCCCCGGTTCCCGCCTCGCTGGGAGAGGCCCCAGTCCATGCCCCAGTCTGAGCCCCGTTGGAGAGACCCCGGTCCGGGCCCCAGTTCAGGCCCCGCTGGGAGAGACCCCGGTCCGAGTCCCGGTTCGAGCCTCGCTGGGAGAGGCCCCGGTCCAAGCCCCAGTTCCCGCCTCGCTGGGAGAGGCCCCAGTCCATGCCCCAGTCTGAGCCCCGTTGGAGAGACCCCGGTCCGGGCCCCAGTTCAGGCCCCGCTGGGAGAGACCCCGGTCCGAGTCCCGGTTCGGGCCCCGCTGGGAGAGACCCCGGTCCGGGCCCCGGTTCGGGCCCCGCTGGGAGAGACCCCGGTCCGAGTCCCGGTTCGGGCCCCGCTGGGAGAGACCCGGTCCGGGCCCCGGTTTGAGCCCCGCTGGGAGAGACCCCGGTCCGAGTCCCGGTTCGGGCCCCGCTGGGAGAGACCCCGGTCCGAGCCCCGCTGGGAGAGACCCCGGTCCGAGTCCCGGTTCGAGCCCCGCTGGGAGAGACCCCGGTCCGAGTCCCGGTTCGAGCCCCGCTGGGAGAGGCCCCGGTCCGAGTCCCGGTTCGAGCCCCGCTGGGAGAGGCCCCGGTCCGAGTCCCGGTTCGAGCCTTGCTGGGAGAGGCCCCGGTTCAAGCCCCGGTTCCCGCCTCGCTGGGAGAGGCCCCGGTCCGGGCCCCGGTTCCCGCCTCGCTGGGAGAGGCCCCAGTCCATGCCCCAGTCTGAGCCCCGTTGGAGAGACCCTGGTCCGGGCCCCAGTTCAGGCCCCGCTGGGAGAGAACCCGGTCCAAGTCCCGGTTCGAGCCCCGCTGGGAGAGACCCCGGTCCAAGTCCCGGTTCGAGCCCCGCTGGGAGAGACCCCGGTCCGAGTCCCGGTTCGAGCCCCGCTGGGAGAGACCCCGGTCCGAGTCCCGGTTCGAGCCCCGCTGGGAGAGACCCCGGTCCGAGTCCCGGTTCGAGCCCCGCTGGGAGAGACCCCGGTCCAAGTCCCGGTTCGGGCCCCGCTGGGAGAGACCCGGTCCGGGCCCCGGTTCGAGCCCCGGTTCGGGCCCCGCTGGGAGAGACCCCGGTCCGGGCCCCGGTTCGAGCCCCGCTGGGAGAGACCCCGGTCCGAGTCCCGGTTCGGGCCCCGCTGGGAGAGACCCCGGTCCGGGCCCCGGTTCGAGCCCCGCTGGGAGAGACCCCGGTCCGAGTCCCGGTTCGAGCCCCGCTGGGAGAGACCCCGGTCCGAGTCCCGGTTCAAGTTCGAACCCTGCTGGGAGAGACCCCGGTCCGGGCCCCGGTTCGAGCCCCGCTGGGAGAGACCCCGGTCCGGGCCCCAGTTCAGGCCCCGCTGGGAGAGGCCCCGGTCCGAGTCCCAGTTCAGGCCCCGCTGGGAGAGGCCCCGGTCCGAGTCCCGGTTCGAGCCCCGCTGGGAGAGACCCCGGTCCGGGCCCCAGTTCAGGCCCCGCTGGGAGAGGCCCCGGTCCGGGCCCCGGTTCGAGCCCTGCTGGGGGCTGTAGGGGGCTGTGCTGGCCGAGGGATCATTGCCGCCCATCAGACCCAAACCTCTGCGGTGGGGTGGGGGGCTGGGCATGCGTGTACGGGGGGGGAGAACATACGGGGGGGGCTGGGCACGCGGCTACCGGGGGGGCAGTGAAAACACAGGGGGGCGGCACGCGGGTACTGGGGGGGCGGGGAAAACGCGGGGGGGGGGCGGCACGCGGGTCCCGGGGGGGGCGGGGGCGGCCCCGGTGGCTGCGTCACTCCGCGGGAGACGGGGGGGAGGATCCAGCCGGAGCCAAAGCGGGTCCAGCAGCAGCATCCTCGGGCCGGGGGGCAGAGGAGGGGGCAGGGGGCACTCAGGGAGGGGGAGGGGGCAGAGGGCACTCAGGGAGGGGGCAGAGGAGGGGAGGGAGAGGGCACTCAGGGAGGGAGAGGGGGCAGAGGAGGGGGCAGGGGGGGCAGGGGGCACTCAGGGTGGGGGAGGGGGCAGAGGAGGGTGGCAGGGGGCACTCAGGGAGGGGGCAGAGGAGGGGGCAGGGGGCACTCAGGGAGGGGGCAGAGGAGGGGGGCCGATGCCCTGCCCCGGGGCGCTGGGGGGGCTTTTCTCCTCCCTGCTGCCGGCCGCCCCCCCTTGGCGCCCCGGCCCCGAGCCGGCGCTGGCCTGGCTGGCCCTGCTCTTCGCCTGGTACTGCTACCGGGTGGGCAGCGAGCGGGCGCTGGCGGGGCCGCCGGGTGGGGGGCGCCCAGCCCCCAGCCTGCCCCCCGGGCCGGGCGGCTGCACGGCAGCCTGCGGGCCTACGCCCAGCGGTACTCGTGGGCGGGCATGGGGCGGGCAGGGCCCTGGGCCCGGCCATCCAGAGCCCCCGCGTCTTCCAGCTGCCCGAGCTGCCCTCGACCCCCTGCTTCCCGCGGGACGCCCCGCGCCGGGACGCCGAGCTGCTGGAGCGGGCCTGCCCCGCCATCCCGCGGGAGCACCAGGCTTCTCCCTCCACCGCCGGGGCGTGGGCTGCCCCCGCACCTTCCTCAGCGCCAACCGCTTCGGGAACGCCGGCTTCAGCGTCCTGCAGCCGGGCACCGTCCTGCCCGGGCGCTACGGGCCCAGCGACGTCCGAGTGTGCTGCCACTTGGGTACGGCGCCAGGCTGCCCCTCCCGGGGCGCTGGGGGACGGGGCGCGGGGCTGCCCCTACCGGGGGTGCTGGGGGACGGGGCGCGGGGCTGCCCCTCCCGGGGCGCTGGGGGACGGGGCCTGACCCTCCCGGGGGCGCTGGGGGACGGGGCGCGGGGCTGCCCCTCCCGGGGCGCTGGGGGACGGGGCCTGACCCTCCCGGGGGCGCTGGGGGACGGGGCGCAGGGCTGCCCCTCCCGAGGCGCTGGGGGACGGGGCCTGACCCTCCCGGGGACGCTGGGGGACGGCGCGCGGGGCTGCCCCTCCCCGAGGTGCTGGGGGACGGGGCCTGACCCTCCCGGGGGCGCTGGGGGCGGGGCGCGGGGCTGCCCCTCCCGGGGCGCTGGGGGACGGGGCGCGGGGCTGCCCCTCCCGGGGCGCTGGGGGACGGGGCCTGACCCTCCCGGGGGCGCTGGGGGACGGGGCGCGGGGCTGCCCCTCCCGAGGCGCTGGGGGACGGGGCCTGACCCTCCCGGGGGCGCTGGGGGACGGCGCGCGGGGCTGCCCCTCCCGAGGCGCTGGGGGACGGGGCCTGACCCTCCCGGGGGCGCTGGGGGCGGGGCGCGGGGCTGCCCCTCCCGGGGCGCTGGGGGACGGGGCCTGACCCTCCCGGGGGCGCTGGGGGCGGGGCGCGGGGCTGCCCCTCCCGGGGCGCTGGGGGACGGGGCCTGACCCTCCCGGGGGCGCTGGGGGACGGGGTGCGGGGCTGCCCCTCCCGGGGGCGCTGGGGGACGGGGCCTGACCCTCCCGGGGGCGCTGGGGGACGGCGCGCGGGGCCTGCTCCCTCCCGGGGCGCTGGGGGACGGGGCGCGGGGCTGCCCCTCCCGGGGCGCTGGGGGACGGGGCCTGACCCTCCCGGGGGCGCTGGGGGACGGGGCGCGGGGCTGCCCCTCCCGGGGCGCTGGGGGACGGGGCCTGCACCCTCCCGGGGGCGCTGGGGGACGGGGCGCGGGGCTGCCCCTCCCGAGGCGCTGGGGGACGGGGCCTGCCCCTCCCGGGGCGCTGGGGGACGGGGCGCGGGGCTGCCCCTCCCGGGGCGCTGGGGGACGGGGCCTGACCCTCCCGGGGCGCTGGGGGACGGGGCGCGGGGCTGCCCCTCCCGGGGCGCTGGGGGACGGGGCTGCCCCTCCCGGGGGCGCTGGGGGACGGGGCGCGGGGGAGGCGCTGGGGGACGGGGCCTGACCCTCCCGGGGCGCTGGGGGACAGGGCGCGGGGCTGCCCCTCCCGGGGGCGCTGGGGGGACGGGGCCTGACCCTCCCGGGGCGCTTGGGGGACGGGGCGCGGGGCTGCCCCTCCCGAGGCGCTGGGGGACGGGGCCTGCCCCTCCCGGGGCGCTGGGGGACGGGGCGCGGGGCTGCCCCCTCCCGGGCGCTGGGGGACGGGGCCTGACCCTCCCGGGGCGCTGGGGGACGGGGCGCGGGGCTGCCCCTCCCGGGGCGCTGGGGGACGGGGCTGCCCCTCCCGGGGGCGCTGGGGGACGGGGCGCGGGGCTGCCCCTCCCGAGGCGCTGGGGGACGGGGCCTGACCCTCCCGGGGGCGCTGGGGGACGGGGCGCGGGGCCTGCTCCCTCCCGGGGGCGCTGGGGGACGGGGCGTGGGGCTGCCCCTCCCGGGGGCGCTGGGGGACGGGGCGCGGGCCTGCTCCCTCCCGGGGCGCTGGGGGACGGGGCGTGGGGCTGCCCCTCCCGCGGGGCGCTGGGGGACGGGGCGCGGGCCTGCTCCCTCCCGGGGGCGCCGCCTCTGATCCCGCCCCACGGTGGGGAGCAGCTGTCTCAGGGGGTGTGGACCCAACCCAGGGCCTTTCCCCTCCCATCAACCTGTTCCCACTGCAGGGCTGAAAGTGCCCCCAGGCTGTGAGCTGGTGGGGGGGGGCGAGCCCCAGTGCTGGCCCGAGGGACACTGCCTCCTGCTGGACGACTCCTTCCTGCACACAACCACGCATAATGCTAAGAGAATGGCAGGAGTAAGGGGCACCAGCAGAGCTGGGGGGCAGGGCTGGGGGTCGGGCGTGAGGGGCACCGGCAGGGCTGGGGGGCAGAGCTGGGCTGACAGGGGGCTGCGGGTCGGGAGTGAGGGCACCAGCAGGGCAGGGGGCAGGGCTGGGGGGCAGGAGTGAGGGCACCGGCAGGGCTGGGGGCAGGGCTGGGGGGCAGGAGTGAGGGCACCGGCAGGGCTGGGGGCAGGGCTGGGGGCCGGGAGTGAGGGCACCGGCAGGGCAGGGGGCAGGGGCTGGGGGCAGAGCTGGGCTGACAGGGGGCTGCGGGTCGGGAGTGAGGGCACCAGCAGGGCTGGGGGGCAGGAGTGAGGGCACCAGCAGGGCAGGGGGCAGGGCTGGGGGGCAGGAGTGAGGGCACCAGCAGGGCAGGGGGCAGGGCTGGGGGGCAGGAGTGAGGGCACCAGCAGGGCAGGGGGCAGGGCTGGGGGGCAGGAGTGAGGGCACCGGCAGGGCTGGGGGCAGGGCTGGGGGCCGGGAGTGAGGGCACCAGCAGGGCAGGGGGCAGGGCTGGGGGGCAGGAGTGAGGGCACCAGCAGGGCAGGGGGCAGGGCTGGGGGCCGGGAGTCAGGGCACCGGCAGGGCAGGGGGCAGGGCTGGGGGGCAGGAGTGAGGGCACCGGCAGGGCTGGGGGCTGGGGGGCAGGCGTGAGGGGCACCTCTGAGCCCAGCATCTCTCGCAGGTGCCCCCGAGGACGGGCCCCCCCGTGCTGTTCCTCGTGGATCTCTGGCACCCCCGTGGCTGGGGCCGAGCGCCAGGCGCTGGATCCCATCTTTGCCCCCGGCCGCTAGGAGCCGGGCCGGGCGCTGCCGGGGGGTGCCCAGGACGGACGGACGGACAGTGCCGGAGCCAGCCCCCAGTCCCAGCGTCCTCTGCAGCTCGTCCCTCCCAGCCCCACTGAACGGCCTGTGGGGGGCACCGGCCCCATCCGGCCCCCGCCCTGCTGTGTGCGCTTCCTTGGCCCCGCACTTCGCGAAGCCCCCGGCCCCTCATTAAAGCATTCAAGCCCCCCCGTGTCAGTGGTGAGCCGAGCTGTGGTGGGGGCTGTCGCGCCGGGCGCTGCCCAGACCCCCCCCGACAGAGAGCAGGGCCCCTCGCGCCGGGCGCTGCCCATCCCCCCCCCGACAGAGAGCAGGGCCCCTCGCGCCGGGCGCTGCCCATCCCCCCCCCCCGACAGAGAGCAGGGCCCCCTCGCGCCGGGCGCTGCCCATCCCCCCCCCCGACAGAGAGCAGGGCCCCTCGCGCCGGGCGCTGCCCATCCCCCCCCCCGACAGAGAGCAGGGCCCCTCGCGCCGGGCGCTGCCCATCCCCCCCCCGACAGAGAGCAGGGCCCCTCGCGCCGGGCGCTGCCCAGACCCCCCGACAGAGAGCAGGGCCCCTCGCGCCGGGCGCTGCCCATCCCCCCCCCCCGACAGAGAGCAGGGCCCCTCGCGCCGGGCGCTGCCCATCCCCCCCCCGACAGAGAGCAGGGCCCCTCGCGCCGGGCGCTGCCCATCCCCCCCCGACAGAGAGCAGGGCCCCCTCGCGCCGGGCGCTGCGCATACCCCCCCCCGACAGAGAGCAGGGCCCCCTCGCGCCGGGCGCTGCCCATCCCCCCCGACAGAGAGCAGGGCCCCCTCGCGCCGGGCGCTGCCCATCCCCCCCCCGACAGAGAGCAGGGCCCCCTCGCGCCGGGCGCTGCCCATCCCCCCCCGACAGAAAGCAGGGCCCCTCGCGCCGGGCGCTGCCCATCCCCCCCCGACAGAGAGCAGGGCCCCCTCGCGCCGGGCGCTGCCCATCCCCCCCCCCCCCCCCGACAGAGAGCAGGGCCCCCTCGCGCCGGGCGCTGCCCAGACCCCCCCCGACAGAGAGCAGGGCCCCTCGCGCCGGGCGCTGCCCATCCCCCCCCGACAGAAAGCAGGGCCCCTCGCGCCGGGCGCTGCCCATCCCCCCCCCCGACAGAGAGCAGGGCCCCTCGCGCCGGGCGCTGCGCATACCCCCCCCGACAGAGAGCAGGGCCCCCCTCACGCCGGGCGCTGCGCATACCCCCCCGACAGAGAGCAGGGCCCCCTCGCGCCGGGCGCTGCCCATCCCCCACAGAGCAGGGCCCTCCGTCCCACCCCCCCCCCCTCGCCCCCTGCCCATCCCCCCCGACAGAGAGCAGGGCCCCCTCGCGCCGGGCGCTGCGCATACCCCCCCGACAGAGAGCAGGGCCCCTCGCGCCGGGCGCTGCCCATCCCCCCCCCGACAGAGAACAGGGCCCCCTCGCGCCGGGCGCTGCGCATACCCCCCCCCCCCCCGACAGAGAGCAGGGCCCCTCGCGCCGGGCGCTGCCCAGACCCCGTAACTGAAATTGGTGGGTGGAAAGCACCATGTGCCCCCCAGTAACCTGGAGCTGGAGCCCAGGATGAGCCAAGGGGGCTGACTGGCCTGTGGGGCGAGGGATGGGACGCGGGGCCTCTCCCCTCTAGGGGGCTCTGGTTCCCACCCAGCCAGGGCCCCCCAGTGGTGGCAGGGCCGGGCTAGGAGCCGATGTTTCCCAGGAATCTTTATTACAATAATTTAATAGAAAAGCAAAAACCTCGTTCAAATAAATTATACAAACATGAGGAATAAGGGGGGGTTGGGGGGCCCCTGCCTCTCCCCCTTTGCGTTTTCTACAGGGGGTGAGGTTTGGAACCTCCCAATTGATTTGGGAGGGGGATTGCAGCATCCCATTGTATTTTTAGGGGGTGAGGTTTGGAACATCCCATTTCCTTTGGGGCAGGTGGAAGCATTCCATTATATTTTGTAACGGAAGGGGATTGGAACATCCCATTTAACAGGGAGGTTGGAATATCCCATTTTATTTTGAGGGGTGGGCTTAACACATTTATTTGGAGGCAGGTTGGAGTAGCCCATTTTAATTTGTAGGAGAAGGGGATTTGAAGATACCAATTTACATTGGGTGATTGAGCAAAATTTTATTGGGGGGGGCGGTACCTCCCATTTTATTGGGAGGTTGGAAGGGGAGTGGAGGATTCCACTGTATTTGGCCGGGGGGGAGGAGAAGAGCGGTGGGTTCCATTGTATTTTGCGGTGAAGGGGATGGGCCCAATAGATTGGCACGTACCATGTGTTTTAGGCGATACAGGTAAGGAACACTGTGTATTGGGGGGAGGGGGAGGTGAATTCCATGTATGTGGTAAAGGACAGTAGCGGGGTTGTACCATGTATGGGGGGGGCAGAGTAGGAAGACTAGGTCATGCCATGTCATTTGTAGAAAAGGGGTGTGAAGTCTGGTAGGTTGGAACGTACCATGAGTTTGGCAAGGAAAGGACAGTTTTGAGGCTGGTAAATGGGGGTCACTCCCCCACCCCCAGAAGCAAAGGGAGCAAAACTCCCACTGCCAGAACTCCCCACAGCACCCCCTGCTGGGAGAGGCTGGGGCTGGAGTAGCCGGGAGCTCCCCCCACAGCCAGCGCCCCTCCCCACACCTAGGAGGGGCCCGGGGCTGGACTAGCTGGCAGCTGCCTGCTCAGCCAGCACCCCCTAACCACACCATAAGCCAGCACTGGCCTCCCTGCTGTCTCCCACCCCCAGGGCAGCGGGTGACGGATCCCGGCCTGACCTGCAGTGCCGGGCTGGGTTAGAGCTGTCGCACGGGTGTCAATCCAGAATGGAGCGGGATGGGAGGGACAGACCAGGAAGTCCATACACCCACAAAAGCAAAGGAATTAGGCTCGTTAAACACAGGAGTTGGTGCCTGGGCGATTAATTAAGCAGGAGGGGTCTCCCAGGAGCTGCCTCCTGTGTCCCTTTCCCCTGCGCAGTCCAGGAAGTTACCCAGGTCTCTACTGCCGGGGAGTCGAATTGGAGAAGGGGGTCAAAGGTCAGAAGCCACAAGGCAGAGAGCTCCCAAAGAGCGGAGAGGGGTCAATGGAGACCCCAGAAAGGTCAGAGAGGCAGTGGGGGTGTGGCAGAGAGAAGGGGAGCCCCCACCCCCGCCATTTGGCACCTGGATGGGGCCGTGGGGGCGGCGCGGGCTCAGTCCTTGAAGACGGCTTGGTGGCCGTGGGGGCGCTCGTCATGCATGATGTGGCGCCGGACGTGGATGCGCCGGACCCGGTGCTCCCGCCCGTCCTCCTCGTCGGCCCGGTGGGGGCCGCCCCCTCCTCCAGCCGCCCCACCCGTTGCTTCCAGGAGCGCCTTGTCGGGGACCCGCGGGGTCTCGTAGATCAGAATGTTCAGGGTCTCCTCGAAGATCCGGGCCTCGGGGAACTCCACCTGTGGGGGTCGGAGGTTAGGCTGGGCCCAGGGGTGGGGCAGCTTTACAAGCCATGCCCCCCACAGCCTCAAAGAATCCCACCAGCAACTGCCCATGTGGCCTTGGAAGCTAGCAAGGGGGGTGGGGGGAGTCACATGTTGTCTTGGAATATACCAAGTATAATGGACTACCCATGGAACATACCAAGAAAAACCATGGAGGGAACCAGCTGGTGCCGTTGGACCATATCAAGTGCCCACGGACAGGGGACCACCCGCTTGGCCTAGGACCATACCAATTGACACTATGATGCGGGGGGGGGGGTACCCACTTGGTGTTGGACCATATCAAGTGAGCATGTGACTGGAAAAGAGGGGACTGCTCTGATGGCACTGGATCATACCAAGTGTGAAGGTGACAAGGGGTGCTGGATCACACCAAGAGTCCATGTGACAGCAGAGAGAGGGGGCCATCCACACTGCCTTGGACCATACCATGTGCTAACATAAGACAGATTCACGTATATCCTTGGAATAGACCAATGTGCTGCAGGGCAATTTGCTCATGGAATGTACTAAGTGTGAGGGCCCAGGGGTACCTTGGTCTGCTTCTTCTCGGTGGCGTAGACGATGGAGGTGCAGCAGACCTCGGCGATTTTGCGGCCCTGCCCATAGAAGGACCAGCAGCAGATCTCATCCCCCAGCACGTCCTTGATGAAGAGGACCCGCCCATTGAAACGCAGCGCCAGCTTGTCGAACAGCTCGATGTTCTTCAGCAGGTTATCGTCCGAGTTACTGCGGAGAAGAGACCCCATGGGTGGGGAGGCTCCCAGCTACTCCAGCACAGCAGGGGGTGGTCTGGGCAGTGGGGCAGGACTCCTGGCTACTTCACCCCTTCCTGGGAGAGGCTGGGGCTGATCTGGGGAGGGCGAGGAGCACTGGCTGTGGAGGGAGCTCCCAGCAACTCCAGCCCAGCCTCTCCCAGCAGGGGGCGTGGGCTCAGGGGGAGCTCACTTTTACTTCAGCCCCAGCCTCTCCCAGGTGGGAGGGATTTGGGGAGGGGCACTGGCTGTGGGGGGAGCTCCCAGCAACTCCAGCCCCGGCCTCTCCCAGCAGGGGGCGCTGTTGGGAGGGGGTGGGGCACCGGCTATGGAGGTAGCTCCCAGTACTTCAGCCCCAGTCTCTCCCAGCAGGGGGTGCTGCAGGGAGCGGGTCAGGAGCGTTGGATTACCTGGTATACGAATACTTGTTGTTGCTTCTGTTATGCAACAGTTTCACCACTGGCTGGAAAAAAAACGAGAGACAGGAAATGAAGCTGGATTCGTACGAGTCGCTCAGCGTAACTTAGTGCAAAGGGGAGGGAGAAGGCTGGGGGGTGTCAGCGCAGAGGGTGATACTGGGGCGACTGGAAAGGCCAATATGGGTGGCCTTGCCTGCCTGTCTCACCTTGGAGCAGCTGGAGATGATCTGTTGCTCCTCCTTGGGGGATGTCACCATGGGAATGAGACACAGAGGATCATAGCCATCACTCTTTTGCTAGGAGGAACAGAGACCAGCAAGGTCACTGCAGGCTCCTGGGACCCATGACTCCCTTAGTGACCCCATCCCCATGGCATAGCCCTGCCCCCAGGTATCACAGCAGGGGAATCCCAGAGCCCTCAGTGACCCCACCCCCACTCGTTCCTTACCTGCAGGGCGAGCTGGCAGTCCTCCACCAGCCCCTGGATGAGGTAGTACCGTGCCTCGGACAGCATCTCCTCCAGCTCCCGCTGCGACTCTGGCAGCGAGACCGAGCCATCCCGCAGGTAGTTGAGGATGGTGCCGAAGTGACGCCCGCTGCGGTCGATCAGGATCCAGCCTGAAGAGGGGAAGAGACAAAAGGATGTGGAGAGCCTCTCCCAGCAAGGGGCACTGTGGGGAGTGGGGCAGGAGCACTGGGTATGGAGGGAGCTCCCGGCTACACCAGCCCCGGCCCCTCCCATCAGGGGCACTGTGAGGAGCAGGGCAGGTACCTTCGCTGTCAGTGAGCACCTCCATTCTACCGCTGAACATGGCCTTGAGCATGGTGTCCTGCTTGGTGAGGGTCTGCACTGTGGTGTAGTGCAGGGACCCGCCCACGTTCAACTTCACATACTTGCTGCTAGGATTCAAGGGCTTTAGGTCAAAGGTCACACCCACCGCTCCCCCTGTAGGCTGGTGCTGCATGGATACCATGGGGGCGCAGGCCTCGGGGGCTGGGAGCGGGGTCATCGTGGCCTCGGCCGACATCTCCACCTGCAGCAGGGAGGGGCGGGAAAAGGGGAAGGGGATGAATCGGGGTCCTCTTTCCATTATCCAGGACCCCCCTCCCCACTTACGCTCTCTGTGTCCACCTTGGTTCACGTGACATTTGCCCCCGACCCCAGTTAGGCCACGTACACACTAGCACTTATGTCAACAAACCTTTTGTTGCTCAAGTGTGTGAAAACACACCCCTCCCCGAGCGATGCAACTTTTGCTGGCATAAATGCTTGTTTGCCCAGTGCTATATTGGCGGGAGACACTCTCCCCCGACACAGGTACGGCTGCTCATTGAGCTGCTTTTATTACATCACTGGAAGAGCTCTCACACGTTGTCAGTGTAACACAACTCCACGGGTGCTACAGCCACGTGGCTGCGTCAGTACGCCTGTGCTACGGGGAGCTTGTAAGTGTAGACGTGGCCTTACCTGAGCGTACACCCCTCCCCAACAGCTCTCAGCTTTCCTCACCCCGAAGAATGGGCCCCTCTGGTCGGCAGCTGACCCCTAGTCCTAGGAGATCCCTGCCCTTTGTCCCTCAACCCCACCCTCTGCCCATGGCCCCTCCCTGCCCTTTGACCCCCAACCCCACCCTCTCCCCATGGCCCCTCCCTACCCTTTGAGCCCCCCAACCCCACCCTCTACCCATGGCCCCTCCCTGCCCTTTGACCCCAACCCTACCCTCTGCCCATGGCCCCTCCCTACCCTTTGACCCTCCCAACCCCACCCTCTGCCCTTTGAGCCCCCCAACCCCACCCTCTCCCCATGGCCCCTCCCCTTGTGCCCCCTACCCAAGGCCCCTCCCTACCCTTTGACCCTCCCAACCCCACCCTCTCCCCATGGCCCCTCCCCTTGTGCCCCCTACCCAAGACCCCTCCCCCTCCCCACCCTTTGTCCCCCTCTGCCCACGGCCCCTCCCTTTGACCTACAAACCCACCCCTCCTCGCCCTTTGACCCCCTCTGGCCAGAGCACTGCCCCCTCCCTGCCCTTTGACCCCAGCCCCGCCCTCCGCCCACAGCCCCGCCCCTCCCTGCCCTTTGACCCCTAGTCCGCGCCGCCGCTCTCACCTGCCCTGCCCGCCCCGTGCGGGGGGTGGGGCGAGGCTCGGCCCCTCCCTGCTCCCCCCACCCAGCTCCCTGCGCCGCCCGCCAGGCCAGTTCCCCGCCGCACTCAGCCAGAGAGAGCCGCACCGCGCATGCGCGTCGGGCTTGGCATGTTGATCCGGGTACCCAGCCGCGCCCCGCCCCCTGGAGGGAGGGTCCACTCAAGCGCATGCGTAGGGGCAAGACGGGGCTGCGGCAAGAGCTCGTTTCCGAATCTGCGCATGCGCAGAACAATTAACTGGGCGGGAGGGGAAGGGAGCGGGGATGTCTCCTGGCGTGAAGGTCCTCCGACCGCGCATGTGCAGAACGCAAAGCTAGGCGACAGTAACAGGGCAATCCGCGCATGCGCATAGCATCAGCAGGCCTGTGGGAGAATGGTGCGCATGCTCATAAGGCAGGGGACAGGGCGGGGAAACGTCAGTGGGCGCATGTGCATAACGCAAGTGGGCTACCACCCTTGGCAAGCGACCAGCGTCCAGTGCGGCGCATGCGCATTCTGTTCCCTGCGGTCCGCGAACGTTAGGACCGTTGCTCACGTGTAGCGCGCGCTTTTCAAATGCGGTTGAGGTTGGGGGCAAGGCGAGCGAGGGAACAAAATGGCGGCCAAATGGAGGCCATTGGAGCGGCACGTGGCCAGAGGCTGGCCTGGCCCCGGGGAGAGACTGAGGGAAAGAGACGTCAGCCCCGGGGATAGACGCCGGCCAGACCTGAGGGAAAGAGATGCCAGCCTGGCCTGGGGGAGAGACGCCGGCCCGGCCCCGGGAAGAAACGCTGGCCAGACCTGAGGAAAGAGCTGCCAGTCTGGCCCGGGGAAGAGATGCCCCAGGGAGAGACGCCGGCCAGACCTGAGGGAAAGAGATGCCAGCCCGGCCTGGCGGAGAGATGCCGAGGGGAGAGATGCCGGCCAGACCTGAGGGAAAGAGACGCCAGCCCGGCCCCGGGGAGAGACGCCAAGGGGAGAGATGCCGGCCAGACCTGAGGGAAAGAGATGGCATCCTGGCCCCGGGGAGAGACGCTGGCCAGACCTGAGGGAAAGAGATACCAGCCTGGCCCCGGGGAGAGACGCCGAGGGGAGAGACACTGGCCTGAGGGAGGGTGACCGAGAGGAGAGACGGTGCCCAGCCCAGCACCGCCAAGGGGAGAGACACTACCTGGCACCGCCGACATCCTGTGTCCAGTCATGGGGGAGACACCAACGGGTTATGACCTTGCCCAGTCAGGGGAGAGATGTCAGACTGACGGCACTGCCAATAGCTCCCCTGCCCATTGGGGAAATAGATGCCAACTGGGCATCAATGGCCCTGCCCAGCAAGGAGAGAGATGCCAGTCAGCTGCCGTCAGCAGCCCCCACATCCAGTGAGGGGAGAGACACCAGCCCACCACCATCTTTAGTGACCAATCTGGGACAGACACCAACGTGGTATCATTTCTGTTGCCCAGTGAGAGGACAGAGGCTAAACACAGCACTATCCTGGGTGACCAATTAGGGGATTGATTTGGTATTGCCCTGGTTGCCCAATGAGAGGACAGGTGCTAACACACTGCCATTCTGGGTGTCCAATTAGGGGATAGATGTCAATTTGGTACTGCCCTGGTCGCCCAATGAGAGAACAGATGGTAACACAGTGCCCTCCGGGATGACCAATCAGGACAGACGCCAGTGTAGAGTTGCCCCCATGGTCAATGGGACACTGTTCTGAGTGCTCCAGACAGGCGGAGGCAACGTCCGAGGGAAGACACCACTGCAGAGCTGCTCCAGGCACCTATCGAAGAGATGGCTCACAGCACCAAGATATCCTGCATTGCTACTGAGGTAACAGATGCCAATGCAGTGGCAACCTGGGTAGTCAAGATGCCATCATGATACCACCACCACCACCATCTTGGGCAACCAATCCAGGGCAATGTCAGTTGATCAATGGGAGGACAGTCAGCAAGCCAATGTCATCCTGGGTGAGCTGTCAGGGGGTAGACACCAATATGGTACAACCTCAGTTGCCCAATTACAGGGCAGAGACTAACACAGAACCATCTTGGGGACCAATCAGGGAGCAGATGTCAATGTAGTACTGCACAATTGACCAATGATGTAAGAGACGCCAACCCGGCGCCGTCCCGGGCGACCGAGCGGGGCAGAGGCCGGCGGGGCCCGCCCGGTCACCCCAGGGGGGACAGACGCCTACCCGGCGCCGTCCCGGGCGACCGAGCGGGGCAGAGGCCGGCGGGGCCCGCCCGGTCACCCCAGGGGGGACAGACGCCTACCCGGCGCCGTCCCGGGCGACCGAGCGGGGCAGAGGCCGGGGGGCCCGCCCCGGTCACCCCAGGGGGCAGAGGCCGGCGGGGCCCGCCCGGTCACCCCAGGGGGGACAGAGGCCAACCCGGCGCCGTCCCGGGCGACCGAGCGGGGCAGAGGCCGGCGGGGCCCGCCCGGTCACCCCAGGGGGGACAGACGCCAACCCGGCGCCGTCCCGGGCGACCGAGCGGGGCAGAGGCCGGCGGGGGCCCGCCCGGTCACCCCAGGGGGGACAGACGCCACCCGGCGCCGTCCCGGGCGACCGAGCGGGGCAGAGGCCAGCGGGGCCCGCCCGGTCACCCCAGGGGGGACAGACGCCAACCCGGCGCCGTCCCGGGCGACCGAGCGGGGCAGAGGCCGGCGGGGCCCGCCCGGTCACCCCAGGGGGGACAGACGCCAACCCGGCGCCGTCCCGGGCGACCGAGCGGGGCAGAGGCCGGCGGGGCCCGCCCGGTCACCCCAGGGGGGACAGACGCCTACCCGGCGCCGTCCCGGGCGACCGAGCGGGGCAGAGGCCGGCGGGGCCCGCCCGGTCACCCCAGGGGGGACAGAGCCTGCGGTAGGCGGGGGGCATTGCCAGGTGGGGGGATGCTGAGCACAGCGAGCGACCCTCGGCTCTCTCGGTATGTGCCAATCAAGTGGCTGAGGGCGGGGAAAGGAGCGAGTCATGTGACCAGATGTGGGGGGGCCGAATACTCGGCGGTGGGAGGGCAATTAGGGTCCCGTGACTTCGGGCCGGTCACGTGACAGAGGGAGGGCAGGCCGGGTTGGGCGGCCGGGTCACGTGGCTGGGCCCTGGCGCGGTGCCGGGCGGTCATGTGACGCAGGGGGGGGTTCCGGGTCGGGGGAGGATCACGTGGCGGGGCCAGGGTGAATGTGCCGGCGGGCGGTTGGGAGCGCGCGGGGCCTGGAGTGAGCGGCCTGCAGCGGGGTGGGGGCCTGGGCAGGTGGAGGGGCTGAGCTGGGCTGAGCTGAGGGGTGTCTGGGGCGCACAGGGGCTTGGGGGGCTGTGCTGGGGGGTGTCGAGGGGCAGGGGGTGTCTGGGGCGCACAGGGAGGCAGGGGGTGTGCTGGGAGGTGTCTGGGGTGCACGGGCGGGGGGTAGGATTTTATTAAGTTCCCTGGGGTAGGTAGTGGGGAGAGGGCTGTGTTGTGGGTGTGGGGGGGGCAGGGGGTTGTGTTAGGGTCCTGGCACTGCTAGGGGCTGTCTGGAGTCTCCGTGTGCTGGCACAGGGGCGCTAGGGGCTGTCCCAGGGTTGCCCAGGCTCTGTGGTGCAGGGGTCCCTTGGGGCAGTTCTGCGGACCGGGCAGGGGTGTGGGGCGAGGGCCATGCAGAAGGAGGAGCTGGGTATAGACGAGAACCGCGACCCCGAGCCAGAGCCGCGGCTGCTGGGGCTGAAGAAGGAGAGGTGCCGACCCGAGGGGCTGGAGGGGCAGCTGCACAATCTCACCAACCGCATCCCAGCAGGTAACCCCACCGAGCTCCCATGTGCCCCCCATATTCTCCCCACCTGTATCCCCCGCCAAGCCCCGCATATTTCCCATGCCAGTGTTCCCTGCTGAGCCCTCCATAATTCCCTCCCGAACCCCACATGTTCCACTGCCATGTCCTTCGCCTGTGTCCATTGCTGAGCCCCCCATATTCTCCCTGCCTGGGGTCCCCCTTGCCGAGCCCCCCATATTTCCCCCACTGAGCTTGTGTGCCCCTGCCTGTATCCCCTGCCAAGGCCCCCATATCCCCCTTCCCTGGATCCCCTCTCGTGCCCCCTGTGTTCCCCCCACCTGTATCCCCTGTAATTGTGGAAGAAAGGGGCCCCCCATAGGGTGCCCATTTGCCCTGGCCTTGCCTATCTCAGCAGGAGAAATGGGGTGCTTCCTGGAGGATGGGGGTACCCCAGTACCAGGAGGCGGGGTATCATCCTGAGGACCAGGCACAGCAGGTGGGGTATCCAGGACATCTGGGGATGCAGGGAGGTGACCCCACTACATTAAAGCGGGCATGGCGGTTACAGAGATTTGGGGGCTGGCAGCCAGCTGAGAGGTGCCCAGATTTCCTGGCTGTCCCTGCCCAGGGTGGGGTCCAGCTGCAACCTTGGCTTGTGTAACCCTCCTCCTGCCAGCAGACTGACCAGGCACTCAGCACAGAGCTAGGGGGTGCTGTGCCACAGGGAGTGGTGGGGGGAGGAGGGATGGGCAGGGGGTGCTGTGGGGTGCAGGAGGAAAGAGCAGGGGGCACTGGGGGGAGAAGGAGGGAGGGATGGGCAGGGAGCGCCATGGGGGGTAGAGGAAAGGGCAGGGGGAGCTGGGGGCACTGCGGGGATTGGGACAGGTAGGAATGGGCAGGGGGCTCTGCAGGGAGCTGGGGTGGAGGGAGGATGGGCAGGGGGCGCTGTGGGAGTGGGATGGCCAGGGACAGCTGGGGGGTTGAGCGGGACGGGCAGGGAGCCGGGGGGAGGAAGGTTGGGCAGGGGGCACCACGGGGAGCGGGACGGGCGGGGAGCCGGGTGCGGGGGTAAGGACAGACAGGGGGCACCACGGGGAGTGGGATGGGAAGGGGGCACCGGGGGGGCAGGGGGTGCTGTGGGGGGAGTGACGGGCAGGGGGATGTTCCTTCCTTTGCCCCTCTCCTGATGGCGCCAGAGGCCTGTTTCTTTGCTATCAAACCTCTGAGCACCTTCCACAGCCCGCAGAGGTGGCCACATCACAAGGCTGGGCAAGTGACCCGTGTCCAGCCCGTGGCCTGGGGGGTGCCAGGGGTCTGAGCCTTCATGTGGGAAGCTGGTGGAAGAGGGGGCAGATGGATGGGTGTTATTGTCTGAAGCAGGGGGAACCCAGGAGTCCTGCTGTAACCACTGGACCCCACCCCCTCCCGGAGCTGGGATGGAACCCAGGCGTCCTGAAGCTTGGTTTGGGATAGGGCAAGACTAGAACGCAGGTGTCCTGCTCACCCCGTCTGCTTCCCGCAGGCACCTGGGAGTCCAACGGCCACAGCCCGGAGGCTGCAGAGGGAGGCGCCCCCCTGAGCCCCTCCAACACCCTCAACATCCGCAACCTGCAGCTGTCGGAGCGCGAGGCGGGGCCGCCCGCCCCCCACCGCTACCCCCACCGCTATCACCCTCACCCTCGGCCCTTCCACAACCCTCACCGCAGGAGCTACCGCCCCGGGGCCAAGGAGTGGGGGCCCAGCACCAATGGGCATGGCGCCGGGGAGGGGCGGGGGGGTTGGGCTGGCCGGCGGCGCCCCTTCCCTGAGCCCCCCCACAGCCCAGAGCGTGCCGGCCAAGCCCTGGAGGATGCTGAGAAGGCGCCAGAGCCATGGGCCCTGTTCCGCCCGCCGCCAGCGTTCCCCGTGGACAGCAGCCGTGCCCGCACCCTCCCCAAGATCAGCTATGCCAGCAAGCTGAAGGAGAACCTGGAGCGCCAGCCGGCCTGTGTGCCAGCCTCCGCCCTCCGCACCGCTGGCCCGCTGCCCAACTGCTCCCCTGCACCCCCTGCCGAGCCTCATCTGGGGGCCATCTTCCAGAACCAGTGGGGGCTGTCCTTCATCAACGAGCCGGGCGCCGGCCAGGGCGGGGGCAATCCCCTGCCCTCAGGCCAGGAGGAACCCCCCCCCATGGCAGCCCTGGGACTGCAGGGGCCGGGCAGCCCTGCCAAGGGGCTGGTGCCCGCTGCAGGGGAGAGCAGGGACTGCTGGGAACAGATGAGCCACAAAGACTGGGAGGAGGCACGGGACTATCACACGGAAGGTGAGGGCTGGCCTGGCAGGGCTGCGGGTCGGGAGTGAGGGGCACCGGCAGAGCTCGGCGGGAGCCCGGGGCTGGGCTAGCAGGGGGCTGCGGATCAGGAGTGAGGGGCACCGGCAGAGCGGGGGGTGGGGGGACAATCTACCTTCAGGCTTTCAAGAACCACTGAGTTGGGGGCACCGTGGTGAGAGAGGGCCCCTGGGTGGGAGGGAAGGGCTGAAGTGTGTCACTCTCTGGTCTCAAAGTGTTAGTTTGAGGGCAAGGCGGGGGGCTGATCAGACTTGGGGGTGCTGCCCCCTTCATGTCTGGGGGCCTCCTGGGTTTGATTCTCCTGGTCTAACCTCCTTCCCCTTCTGTCTCCCCAGCATGGGATCATATATGGAAGCTGCACAGACAAGGTAAGGGTCTCCCTGGAGCCCCTAGGCCAGTGCAGGGAGGTTCGGCAGTGGTACCTCCTGTTCCCCAGCCCTCGAACCTATGGCTGGGGTTATGCTGGGGCCAGCTGCTCCTGCTCTGGCTGGTCCTGTGTGGTTCACAGTCTTCAGAACATCCAGTGTCGGGCAGTTCCACAGCCCACCCTGCCTCTGTGTGGAAAAGGGCTTCCCTTTGAGCTGGCCTGAATTTGCCACTATTCCACATCGCCCCCTTCATGATTGTGGTCGGAAATGGGAGAGCACCAGGGTCCCCTTCCCCTGCACTGGTATCTGGGGGTCGCCCTGGGGAACCAGCCCGGACTCCTGGGTCCCCGGGGGCTATTGTGGAATGGCAAGCTCCATGGGCCAGCCCTCCCTAACCCCATTTTCCATTCTCCCTCTCCTGCAGCTCCCGGCAGAGTCACGGTCTATGCTGACCCCCTGGATGGCAAGGGTTAAACGCGGGGCCTCCCAGGGACGGGGATGTCGCTGTGAGCCAGGCGGGGGGAGGGACGGGCCCCCCATGAAGACTTGGCCTCAAGACTCACCCCAGCTGGGTGTGACACGGAGCCGGTGGGATCCATGGGGAGACCGCAGTTCCATGTCTATCCTCTGGCCCCCCCGTTCCCAGGGCTGCCCTTCCCTTGCGCGCAGCCCCCCCGCCCCCCTTCCGCTTTCACGACGGTTTTAATTTCCCTCTTTGTCCCGGTTTTTTGTTCCGTCCCCACTGAGTTGCGGCTCAGGGCCGTCGCAGATTAAATCAAAATGAATTTATTTAAATTCACCCCCCTGTTTGTCTGCTTCTTCCGCTCTGCGGCTGCCTGATCCCCGGGGCGTATTCCCTCCCGAGGCTGCCACAATGCATTGTGGGAGCTGTAGCCATCTTGGCTGGGACTGCATATCCCATCACGCACCATGGCGTCCCTTCTGCTGATTTCTCTGGCCGGACTACATCTCCCATGATGAGTCAGGGGCAGGCAGCAGCGTCATGGGAGAGGCCATCCGACTGAGGAGATGGAGCTGGAGGGCCTGAACTACATCCCCCATAATGCATCACTGTCTCCATCTGTAGCAAGGGGTAGAAGTGCCTGAATGGAGTCCCTTGTGTCTGAGGAGGAGGCTCCCTGGGAGGACTACATCTCCCATGATGCAGGTGGAAGAGGAGGTGGGGCAGCCCTGGTGGCCTATGGGAATTGTTCTGGGGGCCGGGGTTGTGTAGACCTGGCTTGCTGGTTGGATTACATCGCCCATGCTGCGCCGTGCTCTCCCCTCAGGTGGTGTCTCATGGGAGATGTAGTATGACCAGCCAGGCAAAGGGGGCCCCGGAACCGCAGGTCCCATGCGGCGCTGGGTCCCTTCCCCAGTGGTTGTCGGGCAGGCCTGAGGCCGGGGCCAGCTCCGCAGAGGGATGGGAAAGGAGAAGGCAGCAGCCCCGGGGTGATGCATCGCTCAGAGGGGAGCCAGGAGGTGGGGCAGGGGAGGGGGTTTGGGGCGGGGTGATCACAGGGGGGCACTGGTAGGGGGCGGGCCCCAGCAGCTCTTCAAACGGCCCCAGGTTAACAGCGCGACCTTCGGGCCGCCTCCCCCTTTAAGGGCATTTTTTGCCCCGTTCGAAAATGGCCGCCGTAGCGTCACCGCGCGGCCGCTCTGTGCGCACTTGGAGGACCCGAGTTCACTGCACCGCGAGCGGCGGGCCCCTGGGCCGCGAGTCAAGGCCAGGAAAGCGCATGCGCCTCTGGGCTGCGGTATCCGCGAGCTAGGTGCTGTCGTAAAGGGCCACGGCAGCAGAAGAGGAAATGGGTCCCCGCGGCCTCTTAAAGGGACCGCGCCGCCGCGAGCGGGAGGAGGTAGCGCGCCGCCCGCCCCGCCCCGCCCCCCCCGCGGGGACCAAACGTCCGGCCTGACACTGGGCTCTTGGCCTCGTACCGGTACCGCCGCGCCCCGCCCCCCCGTGCCCGTGGTCCCGCTGCCCGCCCCTCCCACCCCCCACCCCGGCCTGGCCCCCTCCACCCCCCGTCTGACCCCCCCCGGAGCCCCTCCCACCCCGGCCTGGCCTCCGTCTGCCCTCCACCCCCTGTCTGCCCCCCCGGAGCCCCTCCCACACCCTGGCCTCGCTCGCTGTCCGCTCCTTCCCTCCCGGAACCCCTCCCACACCCACCCCAGCCTGGCCCCCTGCACCCCCCCCCCGTCTGCCCCCGCCTGCCCTCCACCCCCCCTGTCTGCCCCCCTTGAGCCCCGCCCACACCGACCCTAGCCTGGCCTTGCTTGCTGTCCCCCCCCCCCCCAGAGCAGGGGGTCCTGAGGGGTAGTGAGGGGACAGGAAGCAGGGGATGGTTAGGGGTGGAGGATCCTGGGGGGGCAGTCAGGGGAAGGGGGGGTTGGATGGGGGCGGGGCCCTGGGGGACCGGTGGGGGGTGGATAGGGGGCGGGGCCAGGCAGTATGGGGGGCAGAGCCTTCTCTACCTGGCCCTCTATACAGTTTCCGATCCCAGATGCAGCCCTCAGGCCAAAAAGTTTGCGCTCCCCTGCTCTCCCCCCCGTGTGTCCATCCCCCGTCTCCCCCCCCCCCGGCTCTGTGCCCACCTGGCAGACACTCAGCCCCGGGGTCCCCTCCTCCGCTGCCCAGGGGCAGGGTCCCTCTGTTGAGCCCCGTGTGCCCCCCAGGCGTCACCATGCTGAGCTGCCCCCTGCTGGGCTCCCTGCGACTCTGCCTGGAGCGGCGCCCACCCCTGGTCTGCTTCTGCCTCTGCCTCTTCTCATTGGCCGCCGCCTTCCTCGCCTTGGCCGCCTACATCCAATGGCACGAGGTCAGGGACCCTGACATCACCCAGGTCAGCGGGAGGGGGGGACCGATGGAGGGGGAGGAATGGGACTGGGGGGGCGGGGGTGAAGGTGTGGGTTGGAGGGGGCGGGACGGAGTGGGCGGGGGGAGCGAAGGAGGGGGTGCAGGAGGGGCCAGGGGACGGGACAGAGGGGGCGGGGGTGAAGGAGGGGGTGAGGGACCGGACAGAGGGGGCGGGGGAGCAATGGAGGGGGCGAAGGAGGGGGTGAGGGAGGGGGTGGGGCAGTGATGGAAGGGGCGGGTGGGCAAAGGAGGAGGTGAGGGGGTGAAGGAGGGGGTGGGGGACGGGGCAGTGATGGGGTGAGGGGGCGGGGGAGCAATGGAGGGGGCGAAGGAGGTGGTGAGGGAGGGGGCGGGGGACGGGACAGAGGGGGTGAGGGAGGGGACAGAGGGGGCAGGGCAGTGAGCGGGGGTGACGGAGGGGGCGGGCGAGCGAAGGAGGGGCGAAGGAGGAGGTGGGGGAGTGAAGGAGGGGGCGGGGGATGGGACGGAGGGGCGGGGGAGTGATGGGGGCTGAGGGAGGGGGCGGGGGAGCAATGGAGGGGGCGAAGGAGGAGGTGAGGGAAGGGGCAGACGGGTGAAGGAGGAGGTGAGGGGGTGAAGGAGGGGGCGGGGGACGGGACAGAGGGGGTGGGGGGTGAAGGAGAGGGTGAGGGAGGGGACAGAGGGGGCGGGGCAGTGATCGGGGTGACGGAGGGGGCGGGCGAGCGAAGGAGGGGCGAAGGAGGAGGTGGAGGGGTGAAGGAGGGGGCGGGGGAGCAATGGAGGGGGCAAAGGAGGAGGTGAGGGGGTGATGGAGGGGGCGGGGCAGCGATGGAGGGGGTGGGCGGCGGGAGTGGGAGGTCACGCTCTGATTCTCCCCCCAGGACTGGAACTCGCTCCTGGAGTCCCTGAGCCACCTGAGGTTCTGCACCGACAACGGGACGTGGGGGGGGCCAACAACTCTGGCCCCCACCCCCAGGGCTGCCCCCCCTTCACCCGGGGCCCCCCCAGCCCTCTCGGTCTTGGTGGGCCTAACTTTCAACCTCCCCGGGGGAGGGCGACCCAACGCCACCCGCCTGGCCCTGACGGTCACCGGCCACCAGCTGGGACTTGGGGGTGAGTGGGGGGCGGCGTTCCCCTGCCCTGCCTGCTGGGGACATTCCCCTCCCCCTGCCCTGCCCCCCAGGGTCGCTCCCCCTCCCTCCACCGAGCCCCCTGAGCCATTCTCCGTGGAGCCGTTCAGTCCTCCTGCCCTGCCCCTCCAGGCCGCTCCCCTCCCCCCCGCCGTGTCCCCCGGAGCCGCTCCCCTCCCCCTGCCCCTCCCCTCCCCCGCCGTGTCCCCCGGAGCCGCTCCCCTCCCCCTGCCCCTCCCCTCCCCCCGCCGTGTCCCCCGAGCCGCTCCCCTCCCCCTCCACTGCCCCTCCCCCCGCCGTGTCCCCTGGGACTGTTCCTCTCCCCTGCCCCTCCCCCCACTCTGCCCCCCCGGGCTCTTTAGCTGCCGCACTGACTCCCCCCCAACAGGTCCAGACGCCCAGCAGCCGATCCGCCTGGTGGTCGTCACCCCGTGGCCCCCCGGCCCCAGCCCCCAGGGCAGCTGTCTGAGCCTGGCAGGCCCCCCCTCCATGCTGCCCCAAACCAGGTGAGCCATGTGGGGCAGGCAGGGTGGGGGAGAGGAGCCTTTGCTGTCTTAACCCCTCACTCCCCCCTGTGGTCTGGTTGCAGGGCGCCGCCCCTCTGCATTGTGGGGGATCTGGGTGCCCAGTCCCGGGCAGAGCCGGGGTCCTGCTACCCGCCCCACTACCAGCCGGACCCCGCCCTGGCCACCATGCTGAGCCCGGTAAGGGGGAGGGCGGAATGACAGGGTCCCCCGCAGGGGGCGGGGCCGTCCCAGGGGGCGGGGCGGAATGACAGGGTCCCCCGCAGGGGGCGGGGCTGTCCCAGGGGGCGGGGCGGAATGACAGGGTCCCCGCAGGGGGCGGGGCTGTCCCGGGGGGGCGGGGCGAAATGACAGGGTCCCCCGCAGGAGGCGGGGCCGTCCCGTGGGGGCGGGACGGAATGACAGGGGTCCCCCCAAGGGGGTGGGGCCGTCCCGGGGGGCGGGGCGGAATGACAGGGTCCCCCGCAGGGGGCGGGGCCGTCCCGGGGGCGGGGCGAAATGACAGGGTCCCCCGCAGGGGGCGGGGCCGTCCGTGGGGGGCGGGACGGAAAGACAGAGGTCCCCCATAGGGGGTGGGGCCGTCCCGGGGGCGGGGCGGAATGACAGGGTCCCCTGCAGGGGGCGGGGCCGTCCCGGGGGGGGGCAAAATGACAGGATCCCCGCAGGGAGCGGGCTCTCCCAGGGGCGGGCGGAATGACAGGGTCCCCCCGCAGGGGGCGGGGCGGATGACAGGGTCCCCCCGCAGGGACGGGCTGTCCCAGGGGGCGGGGCGGAATGACAGGGTCCCCGCAGGGGGCGGGGCGGAATGACAGGGTCCCCCGCAGGGGGCGGGGCTGTCCCAGGGGGCGGGGGCGGAATGACAGGGTCCCCGCAGGGGGCGGGGCTGTCCCAGGGGGCGGGGCGGAATGACAGGGTCCCCGCAGGGGGCGGGGCTGTCCCAGGGGGCGGGGCGGAATGACAGGGTCCCCGCAGGGAGCGGGGCTGTCCCAGGGGGCGGGGCGGAATGACAGGGTCCCTGCAGGGGGCGGGGCTGTCCCAGGGGGCGGGGCGGAATGACAGGGTCCCCCCCCGCAGGGGGCGGGGCGGAATGACAGGGTCCCCGCAGGGGGCGGGCGGAATGACAGGGTCCCCCGCAGGGGGCGGGGCTGTCCCAGGGGGCGGGGCGGAATGACAGGGTCCCCGCAGGGGGCGGGGCTGTCCCAGGGGGCGGGGCGGAATGACAGGGTCCCCGCAGGGGGCGGGGCGGAATGACAGGGTCCCCCGCAGGGGGCGGGGCTGTCCCAGGGGGCGGGGCGGAATGACAGGGTCCCCGCAGGGGGCGGGGCTGTCCCAGGGGGCGGGACGGAATGACAGGGTCCCCGCAGGGGCGGGGCTGTCCCAGGGGGCGGGGCGGAATGACAGGGTCCCCGCAGGGGGCGGGGCGGAATGACAGGGTCCCCCCGCAGGGGGCGGGGCTGTCCCAGGGGGCGGGGCGGAATGACAGGGTCCCCGCAGGGGGCGGGGCTGTCCCAGGGGGCGGGGCGGAATGACAGGGTCCCCGCAGGGGGCGGGGCTGTCCCAGGGGGCGGGGCGGAATGACAGGGTCCCCCCGCAGGGGGCGGGGCGGAATGACAGGGTCCCCCCGCAGGGGGCGGGGCTGTCCCAGGGGGCGGGGCGGAATGACAGGGTCCCCGCAGGGGGCGGGGCTGTCCCAGGGGGCGGGGCGGAATGACAGGGTCCCCCCGCAGGGGGCGGGGCGGAATGACAGGGTCCCCCGCAGGGGGCGGGGCTGTCCCAGGGGGCGGGGCGGAATGACAGGATCCCCCGCAGGGAGCGGGACTGTCCCAGGGGGCGGGGCGGAATGACAGGGTCCCCGCAGGGGGCGGGGCGGAATGACAGGGTCCCCGCAGGGGGCGGGGCTGTCCCAGGGGGCGGGGCGGAATGACAGGGTCCCCGCAGGGGGCGGGGCGGAATGACAGGGTCCCCGCAGGGGGCGGGGCTGTCCCAGGGGGCGGGGCGGAATGACAGGGTCCCCGCAGGGGGCGGGGCCGTCCCGGGGGGCGGGGCGACAGTGCAGGGGGCGCCCTAGGGGCAGCGGGGGGCTGGGGAGGGATGCCCCGGCGCCAGCCCCAGTCTCCGCCTCTCCGTCTCCCCGCAGGAGGATCGCCGCCTGTGCAGCCAGCGCCTCCTGCTGGCCGGCCTGACGGCGCTGTCCCTCTGCGCCCTGCTGCTGGGCGCCGCCGGCCTCTGCCTGCCGCCCGCCCGACACGCCCGGGGGCGGCTCTAGGGGCCGGCCCCCGCCGCCCCGCCCCGCCCCGCCCCGCCCCGCCCCTCCGGGAGCCGGGCCGGGACCCACCTACCCCCCGGCGCCTGCCGGGGCCCGGCCGCGCCCAATAAATGGGAAACGCGGGTCCTGTGTGTGCCTGGCTCTGTGGGGGGCCTGGGAGGCGGCACGTGGGGCCCGACTGGGGGGGCGGGGCCCGACTGGGGGGGCGGGAGGACACGGGGGGCGGGGCCTGGCACGGGGCGGGCGGTTGGGCGGACACGGGGGGCGGGGCCCGACTGGGGGGCGGGAGGACACGGGGGGCGGGGCCCGGCACGGGGCGGGCGGTTGGGAGGACACGGGGGGCGGGGCCCGGCACGAGGCGGGCGGTTGGGAGGACACGGGGGGCGGGGCCCGGCACGGGGGGGTTGGGAGGACACGGGGGGCGGGGCTCGGCACGGGGGCGGACGGATGGGAGGACACGGGGGGCGGGGCCCGGCACGAGGCGGGCGGTTGGGAGGACACGGGGGCGGGGCTCGCCACGGGGGCGGGCGGTTGGGAGGACACGGGGGGCGGGGCCCGGCACGGGGCGGGCGGTTGGGCGGACACGGGGGGCGGGGCCCGGCACGGGGGGGTTGGGAGGACACGGGGGGCGGGGCTCGGCACGGGGGCGGGCGGTTGGGAGGACACGGGGGGCGGGGCCCGGCACGAGGCGGGCGGTTGGGAGGACACGGGGGGCGGGGCCCGGCACGGGGCGGGCGGTTCGGAGGACACGGGGGCGGGGCCCGGCACGGGGCGGGCGGTTGGGAGGACACGGGGGGCGGGGCTCGGCACGGGGGCGGGCGGTTGGGAGGACACGGGGGGCGGGGCCCGGCACGGGGCGGGCGGTTCGGAGGACACGGGGGCGGGGCCCGGCACGGCATGGTGTCTTTTTCTCTGCGCATGCGCCACACTTTTCTCCGATTAACGCCGTATTACGCGTGCGTCGGTTCTCCAACCACCCGGCACGCGCTCGTCCCCGCCGTGACAGCTTGGCGCATGCGCCCCTTGGCCTTCTGCGCGCTCCCAGGCTGACTCCCGTGGCGTCCCAAGGGAGCCCCTGCCACTGCGCATGCGCGCCGCGGCCCCCGGCCCTGGTTCCGGTTTGGCTCTGCCTTGGGCGCCATCTTGGATTTGGGGAGAAGCCGCGAGCGGGCGGGAGGAGGGGCGCGGCGGAGACAGCGGGGAGGGGGGCCGGACCGCGCCAGGCCCCCCACCCCCGGAGCCCCACAGGGCCCCTGGAGAGCCGCCCCCGCCGCGGGCCCCCCCGCCAGCGCCCCCCCGGCCCCCTTCGCCCTCCAGAAGGACTCCCCGCCCCCACACGGCGCCCGCCCCCTCGAGCAGGGGCAGGGGCTGAGGAGCGCGTGCGGAGTCCCGCCCCCCAGACAGCGGCCGCGGGGGGAGCCGGGTGTAGACCCCCCAGGACCCCCCGCGCGGGGTCGGAGGAGGCCGCTGGGGCTGCTGCCCCCGCCCCGTGCTCCGGAGCTGGAGCCGCCGCCAGCCGCGGGTGAGACACCCCGCACCGCGGGGCGGCAGGGGCGGGGGTCATGCGGAGAAAGGGCCAGGTCGGAGGCTGAGGGGCAAGGGTGGGAGCTGCAGGCTGCTGCTGCTCCTCTGAGGACACAGGAGGATGCCAGGGGCAGGGGGCTGGCCCAGCACGGGGCAGTGGGGCTATGGGGGGGGCTGGGGGGATAGTCTGGCCCAGCACGGGGCAGTGGGGCTATGGGGGGGGGGGCTGGGGGGATAGTCTGGCCCAGCACGGGGCAGTGGGGCTATGGGGGGGGCTGGGGGGATAGTCTGGCCCAGCACGGGGCAGTGGGGCTATGGGGGGGGCTGGGGGGATAGTCTGGCCCAGCACGGGGCAGTGGGGATATGGGGGGGGCTGGGGGGATAGTCTGGCCCAGCACGGGGCAGTGGGGATATGGGGGGGGCTGGGGGGATAGTCTGGCCCAGCACGGGGCAGTGGGGCTATGGGGGGGGCTGGGGGATAGTCTGGCCCAGCACGGGGCAGTGGGGCTATGGGGGGGGGCTGGGGGGATAGTCTGGCCCAGCACGGGGCAGTGGGGATATGGGGGGGGGCTGGGGGGATAGTCTGGCCCAGCACGGGGCAGTGGGGATATGGGGGGGGCTGGGGGGATAGTCTGGCCCAACACGGGGCAGTGGGGATATGGGGGGGGGGCTGGGGGGATAGTCTGGCCCAGCACGGGGCAGTGGGGATATGGGGGGGGCTGGGGGGATAGTCTGGCCCAGCACGGGGCAGTGGGGATATGGGGGGGGGCTGGGGGGATAGTCTGGCCCAGCACGGGGCAGTGGGGCTATGGGGGGGGCTGGGGGATAGTCTGGCCCAGCACGGGGCAGTGGGGCTATGGGGGGGGCTGGAGGGATAGTCTGGCCCAGCACGGGGCAGTGGGGCTATGGGGGGGGCTGGGGGATAGTCTGGCCCAGCACGGGGCAGTGGGGCTATGGGGGGGGGCTGGGGGGATAGTCTGGCCCAGCAAGGGGCAGTGGGGATATGGGGGGAGGCTGGGGGGATAGTCTGGCCCAGCACGGGGCAGTGGGGATATGGGGGGGGGCTGGGGGGATAGTCTGGCCCAGCACGGGGCAGTGGGGATATGGGGGGGGCTGGGGGATAGTCTGGCCCAGCACGGGGCAGTGGGGCTATGGGGGGGGGCTGGGGGGATAGTCTGGCCCAGCACGGAGCAGTGGGGCTATGGGGGGGGGCTGGGGGGATAGTCTGGCCCAACACGGGGCAGTGGGGCTATGGGGGGGCTGGGGGGATAGTCTGGCCCAGCACGGGGCAGTGGGGATATGGGGGGGGGCTGGGGGGATAGTCTGGCCCAGCACGGGGCAGTGGGGCTATGGGGGGGGGCTGGGGGGATAGTCTGGCCCAGCACGGGGCAGTGGGGATATGGGGGGGGGGCTGGGGGGATAGTCTGGCCCAGCACGGGGCAGTGGGGCTATGGGGGGGCTGGGGGATAGTCTGGCCCAGCACGGGGCAGTGGGGCTATGGGGGGGGCCGGGGGAAAGTCTGGCCCAGCACGGGGCAGTGGGGCTATGGGGGGGGCTGGGGGGATAGTCTGGCCCAGCACGGGGCAGTGGGGCTATGGGGGGGGGCTGGGGGGATAGTCTGGCCCAGCACGGGGCAGTGGGGATATGGGGGGGGCTGGGGGGATAGTCTGGCCCAGCACGGGGCAGTGGGGATATGGCGGGGGCTGGGGGATAGTCTGGCCCAGCACGGAGCAGTGGGGCTATGGGGGGGGGCTGGGGGGATAGTCTGGCGCAGCACGGGGCAGTGGGGCTATGGGGGGGGGCTGGGGGATAGTCTGGCCCAGCACGGGGCAGTGGGGATATGGGGGGGCTGGGGGGATAGTCTGGCCCAGCACGGGGCAGTGGGGCTATGGGGGGGGGGGGCTGGGGGGATAATCTGGCCCAGCACGGGGCAGTGGGGATATGGGGGGGCTGGGGGGATAGTCTGGCCCAGCACGGGGCAGTGGGGCTATGGGGGGGTCCGGGGGATAGTCTGGCGCAGCACGGGGCAGTGGGGCTATGGGGGGGGGCTGGGGGATAGTCTGGCCCAGCACGGGGCAGTGGGGATATGGGGGGGCTGGGGGGATAGTCTGGCCCAGCACGGGGCAGTGGGGCTATGGGGGGGGGGCTGGGGGGATAATCTGGCCCAGCACGGGGCAGTGGGGATATGGGGGGGCTGGGGGATAGTCTGGCCCAGCACGGGGCAGTGGGGCTATGGGGGGGGTCCGGGGGATAGTCTGGCCCAGCACGGGGCAGTGGGGCTATGGGGGGGCTGGGGGGATAGTCTGGCCCAGCACGGGGCAGTGGGGATATGGGGGGGGCTGGGGGATAGTCTGGCCCAGCACGGGGCAGTGGGGCTATGGGGGGGGGCCGGGGGGATAGTCTTACCCAGCACGGGGCAGTGGGGATATGGGGGGGGGCTGGGGGGATAGAGTGATGCAGCACGGGGCAGTGGGGATATGGGGGGGGGCTGGGGGGATAGTCTGGCCCAGCACGGGGCAGTGGGGCTATGGGGGGGGGGGGGGCTGGGGGGATAGTCTGGCCCAGCACGGGGCAGTGGGGCTATGGGGGGGGGCTGGGGGGATAGAGTGATGCAGCACGGGGCAGTGGGGATATGGCGGGGGCTGGGGGGATAGTCTGGCCCAGCACGGGGCAGTGGGGATATGGGGGGGGGGCTGGGGGGATAGAGTGGTGCAGCACGGGGCAGTGGGGCTGTGGGGGGGTTGGGGGGATAGTCTGGCCCAGCACGGGGCAGTGGGGATATGGGGGGGGCTGGGGGATAGAGTGGTGCAGCATGGGGCAGTGGGGCTATGGGGGGGGGGGGGCTGGGGGGATAGTCTGGCCCAGCACGGGGCAGTGGGGATATGGGGGGGGGCTGGGGGGATAGTCTGGCCCAGCATGGGGCAGTGGGGATATGGGGGGGCTGGGGGGATAGTCTGGCCCAGCACGGGGCAGTGGGGATATGGGGGGGGCTGGGGGGATAGTCTGGCCCAGCACGGGGCAGTGGGGCTATGGGGGGGCTGGGGGGATAGTCTGGCCCAGCACGGGGCAGTGGGGCTATGGGGGGGGGCTGGGGGGATAGTCTGGCCCAGCACGGGGCAGTGGGGCTATGGGGGGGGGCTGGGGGATAGTCTGGCCCAGCACGGAGCAGTGGGGGCTATGGGGGGGGCTGGGGGGATAGTCTGGCCCAGCACGGGGCAGTGGGGATATGGGGGGGGGCTGGGGGGATAGTCTGGCCCAGCACGGGGCAGTGGGGATATGGGGGGGGGCTGGGGGGGATAGTCTGGCCCAGCACGGGGCAGTGGGGCTATGGGGGGGGGCTGGGGGGATAGTCTGGCCCAGCACGGGGCAGTGGGGCTATGGGGGGGGGCTGGGGGATAGTCTGGCCCAGCACGGGGCAGTGGGGATATGGGGGGGGCTGGGGGATAGTCTGGCCCAGCACGGGGCAGTGGGGATATGGGGGGGGGCTGGGGGGATAGTCTGGCCCAACACGGGGCAGTGGGGATATGGGGGGGCTGGGGGGATAGTCTGGCCCAGCACGGGGCAGTGGGGATATGGGGGGGGCTGGGGGGATAGTCTGGCCCAGCACGGGGCAGTGGGGCTATGGGGGGGGCTGGGGGGATAGTCTGGCCCAGCACGGGGCAGTGGGGCTATGGGGGGGGCTGGGGGATAGTCTGGCCCAGCACGGGGCAGTGGGGCTATGGGGGGGGCTGGGGGGATAGTCTGGCCCAGCACGGGGCAGTGGGGCTATGGGGGGGGCTGGGGGATAGTCTGGCCCAGCACGGGGCAGTGGGGCTATGGGGGGGGGGCTGGGGGATAGTCTGGCCCAGCAAGGGGCAGTGGGGATATGGGGGGGGGCTGGGGATAGTCTGGCCCAGCACGGGGCAGTGGGGATATGGGGGGGGGCTGGGGGATAGTCTGGCCCAGCACGGGGCAGTGGGGATATGGGGGGGGCTGGGGGATAGTCTGGCCCAGCACGGGGCAGTGGGGCTATGGGGGGGCTGGGGGATAGTCTGGCCCAGCACGGAGCAGTGGGGCTATGGGGGGGGCTGGGGGATAGTCTGGCCCAACACGGGGCAGTGGGGCTATGGGGGGGGCTGGGGGGATAGTCTGGCCCAGCACGGGGCAGTGGGGATATGGGGGGGGCTGGGGGATAGTCTGGCCCAGCACGGGGCAGTGGGGCTATGGGGGGGGCTGGGGGGATAGTCTGGCCCAGCACGGGGCAGTGGGGATATGGGGGGGGCTGGGGGATAGTCTGGCCCAGCACGGGGCAGTGGGGCTATGGGGGGGGCTGGGGGATAGTCTGGCCCAGCACGGGGCAGTGGGGCTATGGGGGGGGGCCGGGGGAAAGTCTGGCCCAGCACGGGGCAGTGGGGCTATGGGGGGGGCTGGGGGGATAGTCTGGCCCAGCACGGGGCAGTGGGGCTATGGGGGGGGGCGGGGGGGATAGTCTGGCCCAGCACGGGGCAGTGGGGATATGGGGGGGGCTGGGGGGATAGTCTGGCCCAGCACGGGGCAGTGGGGATATGGCGGGGGCTGGGGGATAGTCTGGCCCAGCACGGAGCAGTGGGGCTATGGGGGGGGGCTGGGGGGATAGTCTGGCGCAGCACGGGGCAGTGGGGCTATGGGGGGGCTGGGGGGATAGTCTGGCCCAGCACGGGGCAGTGGGGATATGGGGGGGCTGGGGGGATAGTCTGGCCCAGCACGGGGCAGTGGGGCTATGGGGGGGGGGCTGGGGGGATAATCTGGCCCAGCACGGGGCAGTGGGGATATGGGGGGGCTGGGGGGATAGTCTGGCCCAGCACGGGGCAGTGGGGCTATGGGGGGGGCTGGGGGATAGTCTGGCCCAGCACGGGGCAGTGGGGATATGGGGGGGGGCTGGGGGATAGTCTGGCCCAGCACGGAGCAGTGGGGCTATGGGGGGGGCTGGGGGGATAGTCTGGCCCAGCACGGGGCAGTGGGGATATGGGGGGGGGCTGG